ATCTGTCACACACGCTACATTTGCCGCATGCACAACTGTCGTGTGTGTCATATCCAACATATGTGTCACATTTGTCATATGTGTCACATTCATGGTGCATATCGAATTGTCGTGCGCGTCGTGTTTGTCACAACAGGTCTGAACCGGTCGAGACCATTCTGAACCGGTCTGAACCTGTAGAAACCAGTTTGAACCAATCTGAACCAGTCAAGACCGGTCTGAACAGGTCGGAACCCGTCTGAACCAGTCTGAACCGCTGACCAACTGGTTGCATTCAGGGCCAACCTAGTCTACCAATTGAGTTCCAGGACAGCCAGGTGAAGCACGATTAATAAAAACTCAAGAGAAATTGGGGTTCAACCTGAAGGTCACCTCTACCTCAGTGTGAAATGGCTATCCTGCCTCCAGGAATCTCGGAATGAGACTGAGACTGAGAGCTGTCTCCTCCTGTCTTATATTCCTCTCTAGGGCTGGGGACTGCCTGGTTTTTATGGCAACAAGCATGGCTACTGGGACTAAAGGTGTGTGTCACCACTGCCAGGTCTGTAAGGCTGACCAGTCGAGCTGTTTTACTTTCCTGATCCCCAGGCAAGCTTTATTTATTAAAACACTAATGAAATGCACCTACAGCCAGGGCTCTACAGAGAAACCCTGTCTGAAGAAAGAAAACAGAAAAGCAAATGAGAAAGGAGAGAAAGGTCCACACCCACACTTGTCTCTCTTCCTCCCAATGCCTCTGTTAAATCTGCATTAAAAATCTCCTGTTAAGAGCCAAGATGGATTGGTGGTCCTTTCCCTGAGTTCCATCCCAGGACCCCATGTAGTAGAACTGACATCTGTGAGCTGTGCTCTGACCTTCACAGCCAGGCCATGGCTCATGCACTGTGGCAGGTGCCCCAACACATAAATAAATACATGTTTAAAAAGTTTGTTTCATTTTTATTATGAGTATGTGTGCCCATAATATAATGGGTATGTTCACAAGAGTGCAGATGCCCACTGAGGCCACAAGGGCCACTGAGGGCATTAGATCCCCTGAAGCTGAGGACGCTATGGGGCTCTGAGCTGGCAGGATCCACACTCACATCTCAGCATCAATGCTAACAAGCCCTGACTGAGACCCACATGACTTGGAGGATGTGGCCATTCTTCAGGTCCATGTCCAAACTCTGGTAGAAAGAGCAGTTGGGTCAGATGAGAGGGAGCATGGCTGGGGATGCCTAGGAATTCAAGTCCCCTTCCCTCAGCACAGCTCAGCAATCAAGCTTTAAGTTCCATAAAATGCTGAAGTAAAATATAAGTGGGTAACTGTCCCAAGTGTGTCCCCCAGTCACCACCACCACAATCAGCATCCCCAAGCCTGAAGGAACTCTCTATCATGAGAGAGTACCTGCTCCAGTGGGGTCATTCAGGGGACATTGCCTGTGTGGCAGGCAGCATCAGTTGGGGGCAGGAGACTGTGTGGCAGCCCTATGGCAGCAGTTAGTGTAAGGGGAATGTGACAGATGTTTGTGATAGCAGTGTGTACACAGCAGACAGGTGAGGGGGCACTGGGTGTAGCTGAGGACAGTGGCAGTTGGACACAGATGGGTGTCTGACAGTTGAACAGATCACTGTAGTCATTACCCTTCAGCTTGGAGAGATACCCCCACGTTTTGGGGACCAGAGAAGGAAGACTGGACAGGGGAATGGCCACCTGCTCCTTAGGGGGTCGTTTGTATACCTGGATCAATTTCATAGCCCATACCTCAGATTGTTTTTCAGATGTATTTATTTTGGGTTCACGTGTATGTTTGTGAACCACGTGTTTCCACTTCCAGCAGAGGCCAGAAGAGGGCATCAGATCCCCTGGGACTGGAGTTACAGCCAGCCAGCATGTGGGCACTGAGAATTGAACCTGCATCCTCAGAGGAGCAGCTGGCGCTTTTAACAACCGAGCTGCGTCTCCAGACCCAGGTCCTACATCTCTGAGCTGCAGTCCTCCAGCCCTGCCCAGGTCTCTGAGTCCAGAGGAAACCCCACCCAGTGGGTCTCCTCCCTCGAGAACATTACTCAGAGTTAGGTCTGCCTCTGCTTTGGGTGACTTCTCTGAAGCACTGCCAAATCACTGAAGGTCAGGACGAGTCCCTGCTCTAGTCTCTTCCCTATATTTAGGCCCATGTCATCTAGGGCTCCCCTGAACCTCACTTTCTCAGGAAGAAACCTTTGTGTGGCAAGCTTTACCCACTAAGCCCTCTCCCCAACTCCTCGTTTATATTTTTGATAGAGGGTCTCGCTACACATCCCAAGCTAGACTCAGAATGCTAGCAATCCCCGAGTCTCCTGAGTGCCAGCTTGTCTCTCTCCCGGTCATTCTCAGAGACCCTCAACCTCGCCAACCTCCCTGCCCCCTACTTTCTTTCTGCACACACTCACACACACACTCATACACACACACCAGCAATAAGCCAAGCACTCCTGGGTCTGTGTCCCTGGACATGAACCCAGCTCCACTACACACATGTAATATGGCATACACGAACAAGCTTAATGTTTGTACATAGGAACCCATTTCTAGGCCTTTGCACCCCACCTGTGGCTCCTGTTTGACTCAGTCTGGACTTGGATGTGTTAACCAATGGGAGACCAAGTGTTTGCTCTGAACCCTTTAGACACTGCAAAGAAAAGAATGGTCAGCCACGACTAACCCTGGCCGGGCGACCTCACTACCTATGCGGTAGACGGTGTCAAAGGATAAGTGATTCAGATACATGGAAGTCCAACACTGGCCAAGGCACAGCTGGGGTGCCAGGTGCCCATGTCAAGGGAGGGCAGCTGCGTTTGGCAGAGCGGGACGCTCCTCGGCAACTTCCAGGCTGGGAGTATGGCTCTCACACTGCCTCCTCAGCCCTAATCGCCACCAGGTCGCGGCAGCTCAGGAGGCGTTAGAGACGCGGCAGCCACGGAGAAAGGGCAGCATGGATATATCAAAGCCACGGTTCCACACGCTTTGACAAAGCATGGCGGTTCCACGGTCTGAGGACTCAGTCCAGGCAGTATAGGGAGGCCTGGCTACCAAGATGACGCAGATGTGGACCGCTCCTGTGGCTGAAACTGTAGGGCCCACCTCCATTTTGGACTCAGAGAAAAAAGTGTGAGACGGGCCACATGGAGGAACAACGGTCCAAATGAGAGGTAGAGGGATGCGAACATAACAGTCAGAAATCCTCGCTACTAGCTAGAGAAGACGAAGCTGGGGCAGGGGTATGACGCAGTGAGGACTGGGAATGTGACTCTGTGGTAGAGTGCTTAGCTCAAATTCAACAGGGTCTAGAGACTCAGAGTGCGGCTCAGCGAAAATTTACCAGAGTAGAAGTGTGGCTCAGTGGTAGAGCCCCTGCCTAGAATCCCCCAGTGAGGAGCTGGGGTGTGACTCGGTGGTAGAGCATTTGTCCAGCATGTAAAAATCCAGGGGCTCCATATCCAGCACTTGAGGGGAAAAGTGAACAAAAATAAGTAACTGAGTTAGTTTAGCCAGAAGGTGAGCATTCTATCCCTGAAGTTTTTCCTTTGGGTCCCACTGGGGTCACTTCCTCTAGGAAGAAGTCACTCTGGTTTCTGCCTAAGTCCCCATCTTTAGGTACATTTCCCATGGCACCAAAAACCAGTTTTAAGCAGCTAGTTTGTTTGCTCCCTCGGACCACCAGGGGGCGCGCTATTCCCCACCCTCAGCGCTGCTGGACCAAAGGTACCAGTTTCTCTACTGTTCAGTCCTGTGTGTCCTGCTTTGGTCTCTAGTGTGACAGAACAAAAACTAGAGAAAGCTACATGAAGATTAACATGAACGCAGTCAGTTTTCAGGGAAAGACCGGGAAACCTTTCCCCTGGCATCATCTACACAGTGCATGAGCAGCAATCATACACTATAAAAAGCCTGTACACCAAGAGGCGGGAGGCTTGGGGCTCTTTCCTCAGATCACTAGCTTACTTCTCATTAGCTTCCTTACTTCCTAAGGAGCCAATTCTGTTCCCCCACCTAACTTAGAAGGCACACGCTTTTCTTCATCTCTCCTGGTGGCTGCTCGAATTCTCACCTAACCTGTACTGCCTACCTTCTACTCTAATTAAATTGTCCTTGGGCTTCCTTCTGAGTCCATTTCTTTCTCTTTTTTAAAGATGTGTTTATTTATTATGTATACAGTGTTCTGCCTGTATGTATGCCTGTAGACCAGAAGAGGGCACCAGATCTAATTTCAGATGGTTGTGAGACACTGTGTAGCTGTTGAACTCAGGACCCCGAGTCCATTTCTAAACTTTTTTTTTCTGTTGGTTTTTCAAGACAGGGTTTCTCTGTGAAGCTTTGGAACCTGTCCTGGAATTTGCTCTGTAGACCAGGCTGGCCTCGAACTCACAGGGATCCACCTGCCACTGCCTCCCAAGGGCTGGGATTAAGGCCTGCGCCGCCCATTACTAATCTTTTAAACTGAGATGAAGAACCCTAAAAGGGAAACCTCGGTTTCCCTGGTAACAGTAGTGCTCAGTTCTGCCAAAGCTTTCACAAACATTGCTCCAGAGGTTCTTGCAGGAGGCTCTGAGATTCAAGGCCAGCCTGGGTTACCACAAAAGGAGACCCTGACTTGAAATAAACAATTAACAAAACCAAAGCAAAGCCACACCCAGCATTGACAACAATGAAATCTGGCCAGGGTCACACACAAGCATAGGTTCAATGTCTTCATTAACCAGCCTCAAAATCTTGCCAGTACTTCACAGTACCCAGGAAGTACTCTCCCTCCAAAGAAAATCTAATTTACATCTGCCCTGCCTGAAGCTCGCTGGGTCCCTTCCCATAAGATTCTGACACCACCCCACACTGAAATCTGAAGCAGATGTGGCGATATTCTAGAATTCATGGAAAAACAGTTAAAACTACAAATGTCCTTACCACCGCGACTCTGGCTACATGGTACAGGCCGTGTGTGCACACGAATCTGCTGTGACTAAGGTAACAACCAACTTGGTCCAAGTTTTTAGAAGAAAACTATATTCTTTTAAAGAAAATGCAAACATCCTCGGGGGTGGGGGGAACTTAATTTAAGTCAAATCACATGGTTTTGTGGTAGAGCTGGATACAGTGTGCACAGATGCTCCCCGGGGTCGCAGGGAGCCCTGGTGGGCTCGCTCTCTGTGCCTGGGATTCGCTCAGGGTCTTCTGAGGCTGAGGATGCTAGAAAGGCACCACCTCTGCCAGGATCCAGAGAGACCTGTGGCTGAAACACCCTCAAGGCCAAACCCGGTGTTTCCCAGGTGTCACTGCCCTGGCTGTGGTTGCACACAAATAAGGCACCCTTCCCCCATGGCACCAAGGCCCTCCAAGCCCTGTCTCTGGGAGCTGAGGCCAGGCGGAAGAAGGTGGCCTATCCCAAGGCTGCAGGGTGCAGGTGTCCTGGAACCCAGCAGGGGAAGTGGCTTGAGGCACGGAAGGTGAATAAATAGAAGTCGCTTATTTGACGCGGGGGTCCGGCCCCTGCGGAAGAGACAGCAGCTCGGTGGAGGGGAGAAGACAGAAGGAGCGTGGGTCACCCTTCTCTCCGGATGGCTGCTTTTCAGAGCTCAGTCACATGCACAGCGGGCGAGGGGAGTGGGCCTGGTCCGAGGCGCCTCAGGTGGCACCGGCGGCAGAGCAGATGCCCCTCCAGGGGGTAGCAGCGGCGTCCTTCCTCCCCGCTCAGCTGGAGCCCGCAATCCTGCGGGAAGATAAAACACAACCTGAACCCCAGTAAGCAGGAGACGACATCCTCACCAAAGAAACATCGGGGTTGGGGTAGATACGCCGGTGGGCAGAGGACCTTAAAGAAACACCCAAGGACTTGGAATTAAGGCCAGCCTCAGGAAAAGGACAGGGACAGGTAGTAAATGTAGGCTCAGCCTAACAGGTTGTTGTTGGAGACAGGATTTCTCTGTAGCTTTGGAGCCAGTTCTGTAACAACTCAACAAAGATCTGCCTGGCTCTGCCTCCCAAGTGCTGGGATAAAACGCATGTGCCACCACTGCCTAGCTGTTTCTAGTTTTTAGTTGCTTGAGACAGGGTCTCTCTATACCCCTAGCTGTCCTGGAACTTGCTTTGTAAACCAGGCTGGCCTCAAACTCAGAGACCCACCTGCCTCTGCCTCCGAGTGCAGGGCTTAAAGGCGTGCGCCACCACACCTAGTTTCACAAGATACTGGTTCTTAAGAACAAGGCAGGGCTGGAGAAGGCTGTGCTAAGAGCTTGCTGCTCGACCATGGGAGACCACACAGACCACTGCACCCACAGAACAAGCCAGACTCCCACAGACTCCCCTTAACTCCATTTCCAACTCTGCACTTCACACAGAGCTATGAATAACCCCCTCCCATACAAATATAACTTTAAACTCAACAACAACAACAAAGTGACAGCCAACAGCCAGGTGCAGGAGCCATATCACAGAATTCCAGAGGCAGAGGCAGAAAGTCAAGGTCCAGGTCAGCCTGATCTACAAAGCAAGATCGTATCTCAAAGAAACAAGAGAACAAAATTCTGAACACATCTAGCAGACTAAACCCAGTAGGAGACTGGGCTTGAGTACAGCCTGGGCTATGAAAATAATTCCGAAGACTGGAGAGCTAGCTCAGCAAGAGTTCTAACCACGTGCACAGGACCCGCGTGTCCCAAGTGCAGACACAGCGAATTCTAGGACAGCCAGAGCTGCTGTGGATAATCTTTTTGTACACTGTGAAGATGTGTCTTTGCCAAGGAATCTCCTGATTGGTTTAATAAAGAAATGAATGACCAAAAGCTAGGCAAGAGAGGATAGGCAGGATTTCTGAGAGAAGATGAATAGTGGCCATGCATAGACACCAGAGAGAGGCCTCTCGCATAGCAAGTCGGACATACAGATGGAACACAGGAAAAAGCCACATGGCAGGACATAGATTAATAGAGGCAGGTTCATCTAAGTTATAAGAGCTACTTGGGGGGAAAGCTAAGCTAAGGCAAGTTCTCATAATTAGTAAGAAGTCTCTGTGTCATTATCTGGGGGCTAGAGGTCCAAGAAAGTCCCATGAGAAAGCTTACTACACTTTGCACTGGTGGAGGGGGTCAGCTGACCCTTTCCCCTGTCAGTCTGTGGATCTATCAGGTTTATACCCTAATATCTGACTCCTGAGCTTTATTTATTAATAAAACAATAAAAGAAGCGGTCATATTTGGCATGTAACATATGTCATGACCACATGAACACAGAAGTCATGTCAGCCAACCATCACCTCAACTGTGGACACCTGGGACTCCCCGGGAGCACATATTGCAATTGGCTGTCACTTGCATGGACTCTGGAGAGTGGTCAGCAACTTCCCAGAGCTGCTGCAGTAAACGTGGCTCCCACTGCTACCAGCACTTGGGAAGCAGAGGCAGGCGGATCTCTGTGAGTTTGAAGCCAGCCTGGTCTACAAGAGCTAGTGCCAGGACAGTTAGGGCTGTTACACAGTGAAACCCTGTCTCGAAAAACAAACAAAAAAATTAAAATAAAAGAGCAGGAAATAAGGAATGATAAAAATAAAACAGTAAATTAATTGAATCTACTTTTAAACTAAAAAAAGCAACTACTAGTCTTAAATATTTTACATTGGTATAGATCTTTGTATACTGATACAAATTTAAAGTTATTTTTGTTAGAACATACTGTATATATTTTCTGTTGTTTTAGGTATTATACAGCAGTTCATTTTAAAATATATAGTTTTAGCCCTTAAAGACTATTATTATAAACTGTTTAGGATAATTTTAAAGATGTAGATTACTAGTTAATCATCTATAACAATCAAACTTAATAGTCATGTAGATAAGTTTTCAAGAGATAATTTTTTTGTTTGTTGTTGTTTTTCTTTGGGTTTTTTTTTTTTCTTCAAGACAGGGTTTCTCTGTGTTACTTTGTTGCCTGCCCTGGAACTAGCTCTTATAGACCAGGCTGGCCTCGAAGTTTTTTTGTGTGTGTAAGGCAAAGTTAGCCACTGGACAAGAAACTGCCCTTGCCTTAAATGCTGACCAAATTGGACAAACAGGACACAAAAGATGAATGCCAAACTTTGCCAAGACAAGGTAGGAGAGTCCTTCAAAATTCCTGCTCCACAGAAAACTCTGTCAGATATGCTGGGCCTTTAGACCAACAATGGATGCCCCAACATTGCAGAGGAGCCCTGGGTGACTGTTCAGGCAGCCAGCTGTTTCTGTCATTTCTATAGTTTTGAAAGTTGTTTGCTCTGCACTTCCCGCTTACTCAGGTACTATTTTATTCTTCTCGGGTCTCTGATGGGAGTTGAAGACTAGTTATATTGTCTTTGTTACCACATTTAAAAAAAAAAACTTGCAAGAGAGATGTAAAGTTTATAAAAGTTGAGAGACATAAAAGCTTAAGTTGCTCATCTAAGAAAATGTTTTAAGGTCTAAAAAGATTTTTAGATTGGTAATATGTTATGATAAAAAGTGGTTTAGGTATAAAACTTTGAACTCATCAAGACAGATAATATTTTCTCTGAATATGCCAAATACAAATGGACTGAACATTGTACATTGTAATTCTTATCTGATAATTGTTCTTGTTTGTTTGTTTCGAGACAAGGTTTCTCTGTAGCTTTGGTGCCTGACCCGGAAGTAGCTCTTGTAGACCAGGCTGGCCTCAAACTCAGAGATTGGTCTGCCTCTGCCTCCCAAGTGCTGGGATTAAAGGTGTGCGTAACCACCGCCTGGCCTGATAATTGTTCTTACTATATATAGTTTTACTGTGTTAGACAGAGTAAAACTTTATTTTAGACAAAAATGGGGAAATTTTGTGGATAATCTTTTTGTACACTGTGAAGATGTATCTTTCCCAAGGTACTTTCTTTTTCATTATTTTTTATTTATTTTATGTGCTTTGGTGTTTTGCCTACATGTATGTCTGTTTGAAGGTGTCAGATCCCCTGAAACTGGAGGTACAGATAGTTGTGAGCTGTCATATAGGTACTGGGAATTGAACCCAGGTCCTCTGGAGCAGTGCTCTTAAACACTGAGCCATCTCTCCAGCCCACCAAGGCGTCTTCTTACTGGTTTAATAGAGAACTGAATGACCAACAGCTAGGCAGGAGAGGACAGGCAGGATTTCTGGGGAGTCAGGGGAAGATGAATCTAGGTGCAGAGAGATGCTAATGAGAGGGAGAGCAAGCCAGATACACAGAATGGAAGAGAGGTAAAAGCTACATGGCAAAATGTAGATTCATAAAAGCAGGTTAATCTGAATTATGAGAGCTAATTGGGAAAAGCCTGAGCCAAAGGCCAAGCTTTCATTATTAAGAAGTCTGTGTCTCTATTTGCAGGCTGGTGGTCCAAGACAGTCCAATGAGAAAGCCTATTACACAGGGCTACACAGTAAGACCATATTTCAAAAAAACACACAAACAAAGAAAGTGCGGGAGGTGAAGCTTGGTCCCTTGTCCATGGAGGTGGTGGCTGAAGTGCCAAAGAGGCTTTGGTTCTTTGGTCAAGGGGACTCCAGAACCTTGACCTCTTTTTTTATACATGTATTATTATTATTATTGATGATGATGTTGTTGTTTTGGTTTTAAGACAGGGTTTCTCTGTGTAGCCCTGGATGGCCTATCCCTCACTCTGTAGACCAGGCTGGCTGCATGTATTATTTGCATGTGAAGTGGGTGCCATGGCATGCCTGTGGAGGTGAGGACAACTTGCAGAATCAGCTGTCTCCTCACGTGGGTCCTAAGACTCAGTAGCAGGTATCTTTACACAGTGGGCCATCTCAAAGTTCTCTCCAAACCTTCTTTCTTGTTCTTTTACCAGTTATGAGGTGAGCAGCTCTGCCATGTTGAAATATGAGCGGCGGGGCTGCGTCCCCAACACCCCGGCCGCTTGGCTAGCTCATGCCCGAAATAACAACACGCAAACTGTATTTAAGAACTGCTTGGCCCATGAACTCTAGCCCTTACAGGTAATTCTCGCACCTGGACTAGCCCATTTCTAATAATGTGTGTAAGCACCCCAAGGTGCGCTTACCGGGAAGATTCTAGCCTCTGTCCATCCTGGGAGAGTTGAGCATGGCGTCTCTGCTCCAGCAGAGCTGTCGGGTCTCTCCAGGAGCAGAGCAGAGTCTGACCTCACTTCCTCTTCCGCCCAGCATCCTATCCTGTTTATTCCGCCCACCTATCTTTTAACCTATCAGGGCCAGCAGTTTATTGCTCAGCCAATGAAATCAACAGATTGATATATGACACTCCCACATCACTGCCACACCACAGGCCCAAAGCAATGGCATCAACCAACCATCATGGGATTAAACCTCTACAACCAAACTGAAATAAACCTTTTCTATGTAAGTTGGTGACTTCCAATATTTGCTACAGGAAGTGACAGCATACTCATCCTCCACTAGAATTCTGACGGACACATCCTATCTTCTATCACCCTACAAAGCTTAGGCTGGGTGTCGCCTCCCCCAGGGAACCTTCTATAGTTTTTCAAGGTCCTGACAACTCCCTTCAACAGCAACACACTACTTCACGTGGACACTGCCAATTCTAAATTCCCGTCTATTCTACTAAATCCAACACCCACTTAGTGAAAATGGAACTATCTGAAAGAAAACTGGGCATGGATGGAAAGAAAGGGAAAAGCTTACTGAGGGAGTATGGAGCAAAAGCTACAGAGAGAGGGTCCAGGGTGGAGGATGACAGTGTCTGCAGGGGAGGGTGTGTGAGGCCGGGGCTCACCTCACAGTGGTAACACTCCACGTGGTAGTCTCTGTCCATGGACACCACACGAATGGTTGTCTCACAGCCCTGGAAAAAGAGGCAGATTCACACGTGTGCTCCCTGGACCTGAAGCACTATGTCCTGTCCATTAAAGCACCTCTCTACAATGTGCCACCCTGAGTAGACATGTCCCTCGGACAAGAACAGGGCACTTCAGCACGTGCCCAAGAGGGACGTGTATGTGCCCTGGGCATCTTCCCCAACTGGAGTCACACATATGCATGTAACAGTAAGAAAGTCACATGGGTGTTGGCTCATGCAGGAACTCCCACTACCAGCCATGTTTCCTCAGGAAGCTGACTTAAATAGATATTGTTCATGCAGAAAGACCCAGAGAGCTACACAGGCCAAGGCCTCCCTATCTGCTCTTCTAGACCTAGGCTACCCAACATCCACTGCAAAACTGAATGAGCGGGGTGAGCAGCCCCTCCTGTTACAAGTAATGGAGCAGAGTGCCGCACTGCGTCACGAGAATCAGGACCACATCTTCCCTGTAATGCATCCAAGGGTACACCTGCCCCAGCCCCTCTATACTCCTCAGCCTTGCGGAATGCAGACCACTCCTAATATGTCCCAGGATCTGAGGCAAAGCAGGCAGGATCGGACAAAGCCTCAGGATCACGCACCCTCTGCTTCTGGGAGAAGTGTTCCTACCTGGGCAGGGAGGATAGGGCGGGCACAGGAAGCACATTTTGGAGCAAACACCCTGGAAGGATAAAGGAAGTGGGCGTGAGGTGAGAAGGTAGAGGCAATGGGACATGGGTGGAGCTACCACAACAGCTCTAAGACAGCCTGACTCCTGTGTAGACACAGGTGTGCAGCTTCTGCCTTCTTGGCAGTAATGGTTGACACAGTTCCTATCTGTGCCCTCCCTCCCTCCTCCTGCAGGACAGCCTCAGGCTCCCTCCAGCATTCTCTAGTCCCTGTGTCCAGACTGAAGCCTTCCTAGGGGAGACCTCTGCTCCACCCTGTCCTCCAAGGACAAATGCTGGCACCAATCTCAAAAATCAGCAGCAGCAGAGACCCAAGGCTCTGAGGCCTAAGCCTGGAGCCACCATAACAGACAGGCTGCCCATGTGGCACCAGGGCTTTCTCCTTGGGAGGAAAAGGCCCAATGGCAGGGAACAGACAGGTAAGGGCCCAGAAGAGAAACCAGGAATCACAAATATCCCTGCCCTGCCCTTATGGCGTCACTGGGAACCGTCCCCAGGCTCATGAATTGGAACACTTGCTCCCCAGCATATGGAAACATATTCTGGAAAGATAACAGTTATTGATACCACCTCCAGGTTCTTTCCTGATGTAGCACACCAAAATATAAGGAGCCCCATCCTTCTGCTCTTGTCACCAAAATCAGAGCTATCCCTACCCCAACTGCAGAGAAAATACGAGGGCAGAAAGAGAAAAAAAGGCCAGGACCAAAGAGGCAGAGGTAGGCAGGAAAGAGAGCTGGGGAGGCCATGCTGCGGCCCACACTGCTTCTTCAGCAAGGGAGACTCACGTGTGGTAGTCTCTAACGCAGTAGATGTTGTTCTCCACGTCCACGGTGAAGGGAACGCCATCCAGACACTCGTTACACACTGAGCAGCGGAAGCAACCCGGGTGGTAGGACTTGCCAAGGGCCTGTAGGATCTGTGGAGGCACCGAAAGGTCAGCATGGGCAGGAGGCACAGCACTGCCCCCCAGAGGCCATGGCTTAGGGCCCGCCAACGGTCTGGAGCAGCAGAGGGTGGGGGACTCCAGGTCAAGGGGAGGTTCTCACCATCTCCATGATAAGGTGTCCACACACGCTGCACTTGTCAGCAGTTTGCTGGAACCCGGAGTACTGAGAGGGGACACAGGATCCAGGACGTCACGTGACAAAGGGGCACTCACTGTCGCTGGCCTCAGGTCTGCATGTGAGTCCGAAGGAGGGTCCCGCCCCTGCTCCCACCCAGCTCGGCCAGCAACACAGTGCAGACTCACCAGGAAGTCCTCCTGGCAGTACACTTTCTCACCCACGTTATAGAAGGCCTTCCCACGGAGTCGTCTCCCTGGAGGGGAAGGGGTGGAGGTGGTAATGGAAGCTGACATCATGAATGGAGCCTGGCTTGAGTGTCAGTACTCACCGCCCACCAATGAGAAAATGAACATCGGACATCTCCAAACACCCCTTCATTTGTTTGTGTGTACACCTTTATGTCAGAAGAGGGCGCCAGATCTCATCACAGATGGTTGTGAGCCATCATATGGTTACTGGGAATTGAACTCAGGACCTCTGTAAGTGCAACAGACATGCTCGTAGCTGCTGAGCCATCTCTCCAGCCCCCTCTAAACATCCCTTTAATGCTATGCTGCTGTTATAAACATGTCAAGCCAGAACGGTGTCTCACACCTGTAACCCAGCATCCCATAGGTGAAGGCAGGGCCCCAAAGGCTGAGGACAGCCTAGGCTATAAAGGAAATCCTGCCTCGAAATACCAGACAATAAAATTAGGTGTGGTAGCACATGCCTGTAATCCCACTTGGGACTTGGAGACAGGAGGAACCTCAAGTTCAAGGTCATTCTTGGCTACAAAGCCTAAATGAAGGCCAACCTGGCCTCTCTTAACCAAAAACAATATTTCAGGAAAAAAAAAAAAAACCTACAACAGTAAACAAAGCTATAATCAAAGCAAACACAGGAAGGTCTCTTTCCCCATGCCTCTCCCTTTACCTCAACTGCCTCTACCTCTACTGCTCACCTGGCATTGCCATCCGGCAGGAGGTGCCAGGAGCTGCTAGCTATAAGGAACTTCAGCCTGCTGAGAGTGCTTGTGAGGAACACTCAGCGGCATCAAGCACCTAGGTGAGATGTTAAGTCGCTTTCCTCTGAACAGTTTGGTGGCAGGGTATGGCGGCCCACACCTGTAATTTCAGAGGCAGTAGGAGTTCAAGGCAAGCTTGAGATATATAGGAGCACCTTGTCTAAGAAACCTCAGGGCTGGGGTGTGGCTCAGTGGTAGAGCCCCTGCCTAGAATCCCCACTGAGGGGCTGGGGTGTGGCTCAGTGATAGAGCCCCTGCCTAGAATCCCCACTGAGGGGCTGGGGTGTGGGTCTGGAAGAGATTTCCAGTACCACAAAACAAGATGATTCCATCTTGTTAGAAGTTCTAGGCAGTGTACAATAATGAGATGTGGAATTAGAGCTAATGTAGACTAGAAAGAAGTAACACTATCTGTAGCCATAGATGACACGATTGTGTTGTAGAGAAAACCATTAGTAACCCACTGACCCTAAGTTTATTGTAACTGCAGGATAGGATAGACGGTCAGCATACGAAAACCAAATGTCAAATGCATTTTTATTCTGGCAACAAATATTGGGACTATGAAGCTACAAGATTTTTGCTTTTTTGTTTTTGAGACAGGGTTCTTCTGTGTAGCCCTGGGTGTCCTGAGACTTGTTTTGTAGACCAGGCTGACCTCAAACTCAGAGATGCACCTGCCTCTGTCTCCCAAGTGCCAGGATTAAAGACATATGCCACCACCACCAGGCGAAGTTACCATTTTAAAACTACATTTATGAGGCTGGAGAAGAGATGGCTCATGGTTAAGATTGCATACTGCTCTTGCCAGAGACCAAGTTAGGTTCCCAAAACTCACATTAGGTGGCCCATACTAGCTGTAATTCCAGCTCCAAGGGATCTTGGAACACACTTTCCTGGCCTCTGTTGACATTAAAAACACACATACACACATGCATGGACACATGTGCACATGTGTGTATGCGTGCATGCACACACACCAGATGGATGGATGGATGGATACATACATACATACATACATACATACATACATGGAAACTATACTGGTAACATCATGGAGTTGGAAAGCTACACTAAGGGATAAACTTAGGGAATTATGTGTATGGCCCTGCATACTGTAAAACCAGGCTTGGCCCAGAGAAATCCAAGAAGACACAGGTAAAGAATGCGTGGTGGGAAGCCAATTCCCAAGTCATCCTACATATCTTGCAGGTAAAGGCTGGCAGCTGTCAGTCTAGATGCTTTTTCAAGTTTACTCACAGAGTGAACTCAGAAGACAGACAGCATCTATCTCCCATGGAGGGAGTAGTGAGTTTGTTTGCTGTCCAGCATTACAGACAAGATGCACCTCTGGGACAAGGGTGGGGGGGGTTCCCCTGCTGGGGCTCCTGGGAGGTCCAGCTGCCCCAGAGACTGAGGCAGGAGGACTGCTTCAACTGTGAAGTCTGAGGTCATGCTGAGCATCACAAACATTCCAGTTCTAAAACAATTTTTTAAAAAATTATAATTCCGGGCTGGAGAGATGGCTCAGCAGTTAAGAGCACTGACTACTCTTCCGGAGGTCCTGAGTTCAATTCCCAGCAACCACATGGTGTCTCACAACCACCTATATGAGATCTGGTGCCCTCTTCTGGCCTACAGGCAGGATACTATATAAATAAATAAATAAATAAATAAATAAATAAATAAATAAATAAATTTTAAAAAATTATAATTCCTAATTCAATTGAGGTTTCTAAGGGTTGCCACATAGAGTACGCAGAATCTCCCAGGATCACCTGCCATCCCATAATAGTCAAGGATCAAGCAGAATGGGAAGTGAGCTTGAAGACTCTGACCCGGAAGTACATGCTTTCTGTCATCACCACGAAAAGTGGTATGCTTGGGGGGCTGGAGAGATGGCCCAGAGGTTTACAGCACTGGATGCTCTCCAAAGGTTCCAAGTTCAATTCCTGGCAACTACAAGACAACCCTCTATGAGATCTGGTGCTCCTTCTGACCTGCAGGCAGAACACTGTATACATAATAAATAAATCTAAGAAAAAGAGGATCCAAATCCTTTCCAGCTCACACCAGCTGTGTCCTTTTGCAAATGCTGCCCAATCTCAGCATTTATTTTTTGTAGAAATCAATACAAGTGATAAGGCAGCCAGGGAGGTGGCCACACACACACACACACACACACACAGGGACCTGAGTTTAGTCCCCAGCATTCACATAAGAAGCCGAATATGGTGGCACACCCTTAGAGTTCCCGGGTTGTGGAGGTAGAGACAGGGTATTTGCAGCTTGCTGGCCAGCTACACTCGCCTATTTGGTAAGCATCAGGTCCCAGTGAGAGCTCCTAGAACAAAAGGTTCCCAAGAAACACCACCTGGGGCTGACCTTCAGCCTCTGTACATGTACAACTCTAATATAAAATTGTTATCAACCTAAACAAACACAATCTCAACTGAGTGTGGTTGCTCAGACCTGCAATCCCGTCACACAAAAACTGGTGAATTGGGCTTAGTCAAAATTGAACAAAAGCATCACTAAAATAGTTTTTAAAAATCACACAAAAAGGGGGACTGGAGAGATGGCTCAGCGGTTAAGAGCATGTACTATTATTGCAGAGAACCTGGGTTCAGTTTCCAGCACCCACAAGAGATGGCTCACAGTCACCTAACTCCAGCTCCAGGACAGGACACCTTCGGGCTCCTGGGGCACGTGTTTTCACATACACATGGTCTCCATTCAGTCAGACAGACGCACACAAACACATAAATACACGCACAATAATTAAAAAATACCTCCCCCCAGAAAAATCCTGACCGGGCTATGGTAGTGCATGCTTTTAGTTCCAGCACTCAGGAAGCAGAAGCAGGAGGATTTTTTTGAGTTGAAGGCCAGCCTAAGACAGTCAGAGCTACACAGAGAAACCCTGTGTGGGGGCGGAAAGGAGGGAAACTCCCAATTTTATAACAGGCAAAAGCTTTGAACAGATTTCTCAAAAAAATACTTATTAGGCTGACAAGATGTCTCAGCAACAAAGATGCTTGCTGCACACCTGACAACATGAGTCTGATCCCTGGAACTACATGGGGGAAGAGAGAACTGACTCCTTCAAGTTTTGTCCCACCTCCAGACATACATGCTTGCACACATAATAAATACATAATAAAAATGTATTTTTCAAAGAAAGAAATATTAATGGCCAAAAAGCCAACAGTAAGATGCTCACTGGGAAAGATGCATTATTAAACTCACGGCGTGATGCACCCAGCAGAACAGTTACTCGGAAAGACAACAGCACCAATGATTGGCAAACGTGCAGAGCACCGCGGCTCTTAGGTTTCTAGGGGACTGTCAATGCTACAGCTCCTTGGGAAGACAATTTGGCAGTCTCTTATGAAGTTACACACACGCATACCCTATGACCCCAAAATCCCACTCCCTGCAATATACCCAGGAGAAGTGAGAACCTGAGCACGGATGAACTCTACGAGAGTTCACAGCACAGTCTAGGCGTCTAGTGTCTATGAGCGATTACATGGAGAAACAAGCTGTGGTCTGATCACACAACGGACTACCATGTGGCAGGCAGGAGGAGTACACTACTCACACATGCGGCATGGGTTAAAAGAAAAATCACCCTTGTGAGAGCAGCTGCCCTCAAGATAAAGCCAAATCCAGGGGCTAAAAGGGCTGCTGACAGCCGGAGCCACTGGTAGTCCAGCCTGAGAACAGGCCTGCCTCAGTCCCCAGGAGCTTCCCAGTTATCTGTGGCTAAAATCTTCCAGGGAGTAGTGAGTCCAGCCCAGAGACTGTGCACCACAAGGCAAACAATCCGCTTCCCACACAAGTCTAGACAGCAGAGCTCCGGCCCATCAGGCTCCTGGCGGCAGCTCTGCAAAAAGTCTGACTGAAGGTCACATTTGAGAAGAAAAAAATTCTGAGGTTACAGTTAAACAAGGCAAAATTAAATGTGTGCATGTGTGCATGAGCTTGTGAAAGCCAGAGGTTAACACTGGATGTCTCTCCTGACTGCTCTCCACATAGTCTCTGAGACAGGATTTCTCCTGACCCTGGAGCCCACCGACTGGCTAGACGGCTGGTGGGCTGTCACTCACTCAGCTTTTTACAGGGATGCTAGGGCTCAAACTCAGGTTCTCAACCTTGTGCAGCAAGCACCTTACTGATTGAGCCATCTCCTGCCCTGCTCCCCACCCCCTGCTTTTCTTTAAAAAAAAAATCTCGCTGGGCGATGGTGGCACACGCCTTTAATCTCAGCACTCAGAAGGCAGAAGCAGGCGGATCTCTGTAAGTTCGAGACCAGCCTGGTCTACAGAGCTAGTTCCAGGACAGGCTCCAAAGCCACAGAGAAACCCTGTCTCGAAAAACAAAAATAAAATAAAATAAAATAAAAATCTCAAATCAGGCATGGTGATACATGCCTTTAATCCCAGCTCTTGAGAGATAGAAGCAGAAGCCAGCCTGGTCTACACAGTAAGTTCCATGATAACCAAGACTACACAGAAACCTTATCTCAAAAAAAAAAAAAAAAAAAAAAAAGGGGGGGGGGAGAGGGTGAGCTAATGATAGCACACTTGCTCTGACTGCTGCTGTGCAGACATTATTCATCAGGAGTAAGATAAATGTGGATTGCTGACTTAGCCAGAGGGATGGGGATGTGAGGAATGGCAGCACAGCCTTAGACACAGAGCAGTTTGGTCGTTTCTTTTTGAGGCAGGGTCTCTGCATTACTGTGGCTGGCTCTGAACTCTGCTTCTGCCTCGGCCTCCTGAGTGACCGTATTACAAGCTCTAGCAAAAATAGCATTTCTTTGCCTTGATCCTTATGTATTTACTGTGATAAAATAAACCATGGAAATATTCTCTGCGGGCTGTGGTTAAGAGCACTGGCTGCTCTTACAGAGGACCCAGCTTCAATTTCCAGCACCCATATGGTGACTCAGTCATCCATCCACAGCGCCAGTACCAGGGGACCAACAGGCACACACATGGTGCACACACATACATGCAGGCAAAACACTCACACACATAAAGTCCAAGAAATATATCTAAAATACGTTTACAAATATTAACCTCATGTCCAGATGGTACAAGCCCCCTCATCCATGCCCCTATCCTCCCAGGCAGACCAGGACCCTATGCGGATGGAAGAAGCACAGCCAAGGACCAGAGAGGAACCTTTCTGATAGCCAACAAAAGGCCCCTCAGCTGTTCCACGGCTCCTTCCTCAGACCTACACCTCTCAGGTCAAGCCCAGAAAGATGTCACGAGCCATGTGCATAGGGAGAATGTGAACAGCCTCCTTCCATCCCAGAACAGAGTGTCTCCTCTGCCTGAGACTTGGATGCGAGGGAGTGACGGGGCAGTGGGGTGGGGTAGAAGCTGTTACCTACCACAGGAGTCACAGATGAAGCAGTCGGTGTGATACAGGCTCCCCATTGCCTGGCACGCCTGCCTTGCTCCGTAGATGCCAAGCCCACACTTGATACAGATGCCTGTGAGGAAGGAGCAGGAGAGCAGCAGCTAGTACTATGTCCTGGAGTGGGGTGGCCAGCCAGGCCCCAACGACAGGACCACCAAATCCCTAGTCTAACATTCAGCTACAAGGACCCTGCTGGAAGCTGAATGTGTCCTGTCCGTGTTTTAAGCACCTGGATGGTGGACAGAGGCCACTAGAGGCAGGTCTGGAAGGTTGTAGCTCAACTCTGCTCATGTGCAAATGTTTTGATTCCCAATTCCGGAGAGATGGGAGGCGCTGCCCCCCATGTTCCTGCCATGATGGACAGCTGGAGTGATCCTTCCTCCTTTAAGTGGCTTCAGTCACTTAAGTCACTTAAGGAGCTGGTCCCTGTATCGAGAAAGGCAGTGAACACGGGCAGCACGTAGGGGCAGCTACTGCAGCGTGGGCATTCAAAGAGCTTCACAGAGCACCAGTGGAGGCAGAGCCCTTGAAGTCAGCCATCAGCTATGACCATGAGCATCAGAGCTAGAAAAGGAACTCCACGCCTTGGACAACTTTCCTAGCCTTGGAAACAAATCCCACTCTTCAAAACATATATGTACCTTCTGACCCCACAAAGGTACACTCAAGCGCATCACTGCCCTGGACAGGTACCCTTCCTCGGCTGTAGAAGGTTCAAATATTCTCTACACATTCCACAAACATGGCCTGCTGCCTGCTCACACCCTTCTCTTTTTTTTTTTTTTTTTTTTTTTTTTTTTTGGTGGGGGGAGGAGTTTTGAGACAGGGTTTCTCTGTGTAGTCCCGGCTGTTCTGAACTCACTCTGTAGACCAGGCTGGTCTCAAACTCGGAGATTCACCTGCCTCTGCCTCCTGAGTGCTGGGATTAAAGGCGTGCGCCACTTCTTAAATGTAGAGAAAAGTAGTGCAGAGAAATCCCCAGCCCCAAGGGCCATGTGCTTGCTCCAGAGGAGACACACACGCAGAAGTCACAAGATGTCAGATGAGTGGGGTACATGTCGGATGATGCACGCCTGTGACCCCAGCACTCAGGAGACCAAGGCAAGAGGGTAGAGAGCTTAGAGTTCCAGGCCAGCCAGGGTTATATAGCAAGTTTTAGGTTAGCCAGGAGTCTATACGGAGATCCTGCCTCAAACAACAACAAAAACCGTAACAATAATGATAACAACAATGATAATGTCAGATGGAAACAAACATGAGGGAGAAAAGTAAGGCTTGTTAAGAACAGATCGAGGGGTGCTGGAGAGATGGCTCAGCAGCTGAGAGCACACACCGTTCTTTCAGAGGACCCAGGTTCAATTTCCAGCATCCACATGGAAGCTCACAACTATCCATAACTCCAGTTCCAGGGGATGTGACACCCACACACACACACACACACAGGCAAAACAGTAAGGAACATAAAATAAAAATAAGTAAGACATTAAAAGAAGAACAGAGCCGGATGGTAGTGGTGCACGCCTTTAATCCCAGCACTTGGGAGGCAGAGGCAGGTGGATCTCTGTGGGTTCAAGGCCAGCCTGGTCTACAAGAGCTAGTTCCAGGACAGGCTCCAAAGCTGTCTTGAAAAACCAAAGAAATAAAGGAATAAAGAATAAAATAAAATCAAGGACCAATCAGGGTTGGGTTTAGCTCAATTGGAGAGCGCTTGCACGGCAAGGGCAAGGCCCTGAGTTCAGTCCTCAGCTCCCCCCTCCCGCCAAAGAAAAGAGATCAAAGTGGAAACAGATGCAGAAACCCACAGTCCAACATTAGACACAGCTTGGGGAATCCTGAGGAAGAGGAGGAAGAAGGACTGTAGGAGTCAGAGAGGTCAAGGGCACCAGTAGAAAACCCAGAGTCAACCAACCACAGAGACCTTGCAGGGCACTGACCTAGGCCATCTGCACTTATGCTGCCCGTGTGGGGCTTGGTCTTCTTGTGGGGCTCCTGACAGTGGGAGCAGAGGCTGTCTCTGACCCTTGCTGCTTTGGGACCCTTTTCCTAATGGGTTGCCTCGTCAGCCTTAATAGGATAGGACGTGCCTAGTCTTACTGCAACTTGACATGCCATGGCTGGCTGATGTCCACAGGAGGCTGCCATTTTCTGAAGAGAAACAAAGTGGAGGAGTAGACAGGGAATGGGAAGGGGGAGTGAAGGGAGGGGCTGGGAGGAGAGGAGGGAAGGGAAACTGCAGTTGGGATGTGAAAAACAAATAAAAATTAAAAAGAGAAGAGCTCAAGGGACTGGAGAGGTGGCTCAGCAGTTAAGAGCGCTGGCTGTTCTTGCATTACTGCACCCACTCGGTTCATGACCATCCACAACTCCAGTTTCAGGGGATCCAGTGCCCTCTTTCACTCTCTGAGGGGACCAGGCATGCAAGTGGTGCACATATATACATACATACAGGCATGCAAAACATTCACAGACATAAAACAAATCAGTCAAAAAGAAAGGACTAGGGCTGGAGAGATGGCTCAGAGGGTAAGAGCATTGCCTGCTCTTCCAAAGGTCCTGAGTTCAATTCCCAGCAACCACATGGTGGCTCACAACCATCTGTAATGAGGTCTGGTGCCCTCTTCTGGCCTGCAGGCATACAAGGAAGGAATGCTGTATACAAAATAAATAAGTAGATGGATGGATAGATGGATGGATGGATGGATGGACGGACGAATGAATAAAAAAAAGACTAAATCAGCGCTGGGGAGATGGCTCAGTGGTTAAGAGTACTTCCCAGCACCCACATGGTGGCTCAGCCACCTGTAACTCCAATTCCAGGGGATCTAACGCCCTCTTCTGGCTTCTGCAGTCACTGCACACACATAAATAAAAGTAAAAATAAATAAAAATTTCACAAAGAATCTATTTAAAAAAAAAGAATCTATTTTTAAAAATCTAGGGTAGCTGAGTATGGTGGCACAAGCCCGTAATCCCAACACTTGAAAGACAGGGCAGCTACACAGAGAGCTGGAGGCCAGCAATGGGCTATGTAAGACCTCGTCTCCAACAAAACAAAACAAAGACTAAATCTAGAGGGCCAGGTATATTGACACATGCCATCCATTTGTACACTAGAGAGGTTGAAGTAGTACATCTCAAGTTCAGGGCAATCTGGGCTCCATGGAAAGATCTGGTCTATAAATACAATAGTCTATAGAGGCTAGAGCGTCAACTTAGTGGCTCACACTTGACACGTGTGAACCAGCCCCCCACAGGCACACATCTGGAGGTGGTGATTTTTACACAGGATGGCGAAGGACAGTCCCTCTGTGGTCTTTACAGCATGAACTGAACGGACAGTGCTTTCTACGCAGGGATCCAGGAATACAGGATGGAACTGGGACCACCCAGCAGGTCAAATGGGGGAGAAAAACAGGACTGACTAAGCAGTGTTAGGAGGATGCCTGGCTCCAAATCTTGTGCACTTTTTAGCCCAGCCCTCCGGGAGACACAAAGGCTGCTCGCTTCAGATACTCAGCACCTCTGTGTGGTTTGCATGAGATGGTCCCCACAGACTCATCTTTGAATACTTGGTCCCTATTGGTGTTTGAGAAGCAGTAAGAGGTGTGGCCTTGTTGGAGAATGTGTGGTGATGCACACCTTTAATCCCAGCACTCAGGAGGCAAAGGCAGGTGGATATTTGAATTTGAGACCAGCCTGGTCTACAAAGTGAGTTCCAGGACAGGCTCCAAAACCACAGAGAAACCCTGTCTCAAAAAACCAAAAAAAAAAAAAAAAACACCAAAGATGGGAGCTCGTAGCTGTCCCTGGACCGTGTCTTTGGTCCACCACCATGGACTCTCCCCACTGCGGTCCTGGGGAACGGAACTCAGCTTGTCAGGCTTAGCAGAACGTCTTAGCACGGCTCATCTCATCCGGTCTTCTTTGTGTTGTCACTAGCGTGGGCTACAATGGCTATGCACTACCACACCTGGCTTGTTCCCTAACTTTCCTCCAGTCCTGATTCAGCGTGGAACTGGCAGGCTACCCAGGCCCCAACAACCAACCCTGACACACTGCCGGACTTCTCTTCCTTCTGTCTTCTCACTCCCCCACCAGCCATGAGAATCAGACCTCACCATGTACTTGACTGAATCACAGCAGTCAACACTGGAAGGTGGGGGTGGGGAGGCCGAGGCTGGCAGATCCTTGCAATTTTGAGGCCAGCCTGGTCTACGCTGTAAGTTCCAGACCAGCCAAGGATACAATAACAAAACGCTGTCTCAAAAACTAAAAATACAGGCTCCAAAACCACAGAGAAACACTGTCTCGAGAAAAAAAAACAAAACAAAACAAAAAACTAAAAATAAGGGTCTGGAGAGATGGCTCAGTGGTTAAGGACACTGGCTGACTGGCTGCTCACTCTTGAAGAAGACGGCTGGGACTCAATTCCCAGGACTCATGGGGATGCTCACAACCATACGTGCCAGTGCCATATATCTGACACCTCTTCTGGCCTCTGTGGGCACCACGAACACACGTGGTGCATATGCATACATGCAGGCAAAAATTCATACGTATAAAATTAACAAATCCTTAAAAAATTTAAAAAAAAAGGGACAAAAAAGTATACAGAAAGGGAAGGCCCTATGGTACATTAAGCCTGGCGTATATTGTCTGTATGTACCCAGATTGCTTTAATAAAAACATACTTTAGAATGACCAACTGTAGCGGTATATCCCTACAACCTCAGTGATCAGAAAGCTCAGCAGAATTCTAGGCCAGCCTGAATTAGAGAACAAGATTCTGCCTCAGGGTAAAAAAAAAAAGTGACCCCAGGGCACAGGACACCTCAGAAATGAGAGAGAGGGAGGGAATGAGCAAACCTGAGATGGGAGGAAGGCAAGATGAAAGGACAGAGAGACTCTATGACCATATGGGTTTGGAAGTTAATTTATGCTTTTTAAGAAATATTTATCTGTATACATGTACACACACGAGTACATGTGCATGCTACGGTACCCGTGTGGTCAGAGGACAGCTTGCAGGAGTCAGTTCACTCCTACCATGTGGGTTCCGGGAATCAAACTTGGGAAGTTAGGCTTGGGAGCAAGTTGCATCTTTAGCCACTGAGACATCTCACCAGCTCTGTCCCTGTGTGCATGTGTGTGTGTTGTGTGAGAGTGTATGTGTGCACGTGTGTGACCCTTCTACAGATTTATAACTGAAAGAAAGGGGCCAAAGGAAAGAGGGAGGCTGAGGGTGGAGGAAGAGGCTACAGAGAAGACTGTTACCCTCTCAGGTGGCAGGAGAGTGAGGCTGGCCGTGGACAGAAAGCATGGAGGGAGGAACAGGAACCTCAGTGCTCGGAGTGAGGTAGGAAGCGGGATGGGCGGCAGGAGACCAGAGGCTGCTGAGAAAATAGAAAAGCAAACTGACTGAGGCTAAGGGGAACAGCAGAGTCCTGAAAACCACTGAGGTTAAAGAACAAAAATTACTCCAGGGCCAGAGAAATGGCTCAGAGGGTCTTGCAGACCTAATAAGGATGGCGCAGCCTGGGGAACACGCTGCAGACAGGAATAGGGCACGAGATACCTAGAGGTCAGCAGAAGCAGACCTAATGAGGATGGCACAGCCTGGGGAACACTCTGCAGACAGGAATAGGGCACGAAATACCTAGAGGTCAGCAGAAGCAGACCTAATGAGGATGGCGCAGCCTGGGAAACACGCTGCAGACAAAGTATAGAGGCCAGACTTCCTTCTGTAAGGGGCAGTTATTTAGGTTGAAAGAGTTGAAATTTTGTTTTTTCAAGACAGGGTTTCTCTGTGTAGCCCTGGCTGTCCTAGAACTAGCTCTTGCAGACCAGACTGGCTTTGAACTCACAGAGATCCGCCTGCCTCCGCCTCCCCAGTGTGGGATTAAAGGTGTGAGCTAGCACCGCCAACAAGATTTGATTTTTTTTTTTAAATTGCAAACTGGATATAGCTGGATAGGGTGGCAAACGTCTTTAATCCCAGCACTGGGTAGGCAGAAACAGGAAAAGCTCAAGACTAGCCTGGGCTAAGGCTCTGGTCTTTAAAAGACAAACGGATACATTTTTGTTGTTTGTCTTGCTGTTCGGGTCCCATTCTGTAGCACAGACTGGCCAAGAACGCACAACCTTCAGTCTCAGTTTGCTGAGTGCTTAGATTACAGGTATTTACCACACATGGAAACTGCCGTTTTTGTATTTCAAAAACATCAATCGTCATCAGATACACAGCTCAGGCAAAACTGCCCATATTTTTAAGAACCAGAAAAAAAAACAAAACTATTTTTGGCTTGGGGTTTGGGGGTGGCCCTTAGACCAGGTGTGGTGGTGGTTCATACCTGCAGTCCCAACACTCAGGAAGGTGGTTAGCTGGAGATCACATTGATAGATAGGGTGGGACCCTATCTAAAAAAAAGGGGGTACTGGGGATAAGGTTCAATTGAGAGTGCTTGCCTACCATGCATGAAGCCCCAGCTTCCACCTGCTCTTCACCCCATAATCTGGCTGTGGTGATGCACACCTGTAATCCCAGCACTTGGGGTGAAGACAGAGATAAAGGCTATCCCTAGCTGAAGAGCTCATTCTAGACCAGTTTGCACTAGATGAGTCCTGACTCTGAAGGGACCCTCTATCACCAGCCAGCTCAGTCTCCTATGTGGCTTAAACGCCTGAAAGCTGAGCCCTCGCTGCTCTTTGGAGCCCTCCTGCAGACTTTGGTCATCAGTGCCCGTACTACCCAGTATTAGCATTACCTACCCAGAGCAATACACACACCCATGGGGCCCACAGATAGTTAATGCCCAGCCTCCAAGTGTGCAGGGGCCAGATGCCGACCAAGAGCATGGGAGTGTCCCCTGCAGATGTCCCAGTTCAACACCTGGCAGGAGGTCTGTCTCCCACTCGCCCCTACTCCCAGCCCACTACCAGCAGCCACCACATCTGCTAAACCACGACTCCCATCATGCCTTCTCACGTCGAACCAAGCACCTTATCGCAAAGACAGACCAACCCTTTAGCCCACACACACCCCTGATGTTGACCCACACTGGGTTACAACCTTCCCATAACCTCACTTATGGGAATCTTCCTCCGTCCCAGAATGCACCCACCCGACCTGCTAAGAGACAGCCTCTACTCCCCCAAGATCTACTTCAAAGCGGCCGGGAACTGCTAGTTTTGCTGGCCTGGGGCTAGAAATCTGCCTGGCCTGTCTCGTGCTTGCTAACCTTGCACACCCTCACTTCCTCCACCCTGATTCCTACTAAGTATTGAGGCAAGGAAAGCCCTCAGAGGTTGTTGGGCTGATGCATGTTATTCCTTTGCCTGGGTTGTTGTGAATCTTACTTCCTTTCTTTGGTATTTGGTGGTATAAAATCCATTTTCTGTTGTCCTTTCTGAAACAAGGTCTTGTTATGTAGTCTTGACTGGTCTGGAACTGTATGCAGACTAGGCTGGCTTTGAACTTCAAACTATCTACTATTCCTGCTTCCCAAGTGCTGGGATTACAGGCCTGTACCAAGCAGGCTAAAGTCTGGACTTTTCCGATGTGTATCCAGCGGTAAGGCTGGTTTGTGGTTCTGTTTTGCCTTGCTGGGGAACAAACCCAAGACCTTGAGTACTCTAGGCAAGCGCTCTACCACGGATCTAAACTCCTAGCCCAGTATTCCTTTAGGAAATATCCAGTGTATACGACTCAGCCCAGAGCAGCCTGGCGTACCTGGCTTAGTCCTGTGGCCTCACAAGGTCCTACCTGCAGCCACCACGAGCACTGAAGCCTGTGACCCTAGGGCATCCCATCTCTCACTCCCTAACCATGGCTCACACAACTGAAAGGGGAGGAAGACTTCCCTTCTGCTCATCAAGCATTAGCAGGGTGAGCAGGAGCGATGCTAAGGATGAAGAAGAACGCCCAGCAAAAGGGGCTGAAGGATGGGGTTAGCAATTAAGAGCGCTTACTGCTCTCGCAAAAGCCTCGAATTCCATTCCCAGCATCCATATCTGCTCACTATCGACTGTGACTCCAGTTTCAAAGGATCTGACACCTTTTTCTGGCCTCCTAGAGTACCCTCAAATACACATAACTAAATCTTTGCCAATCCATGTCTCTAATCCCAGCACTGGAAAGGCAGTGGCTGAAAGAGCTCTGTGAGTTCCAAGCCAGCCAGAGCTATATACAGTGAGACCTTGTCTCTTAAGTAAATCTTTTTTTTTTTAAAGTGTCCAGAAAATAGTTTAGTTTGCCAATCAACCTGATTTTGTTTGGATCCCCGCTTCTCCTGCCTTAAGTCAGGAAGCGCGCGCGAAACACCTCCGCATCTGTGGCTGGAGAACAGACCGCACCCGCGCCTAGGGCATCCCGGACCCCGGGACCCCCGGACCCCAGCCCGCGCGCTCACCGAAGTAGTCTCGCGCCGTGCGAGCCTCAAGCGCGCGCTCCAGCTCCCGCGTGAGTGCTTCCAGCCGCCGCTCGGCCGCGCTCGGGCCACTGTCCCGGCCCGGGGGGAGCGGAAGCGACGGCAACGGGAACGGGGCGGGCTCCGGAGAGCGGGCAGGCGCGGGGCCGACGCCGGGCGGCAGCAGGTCGGCATAGGCGCCCGCTGAGCCGCGGGAGCCCAGGCTGGACACGCTGGAGCGCGCACTGCCCCCCGACGGCGGCCCGGGACCGGGGCCGTGGCGCTGGTCGTAGCCCAGGCTGATGCCGCTGGAGCGCGCGCTGCCGCCGTCCGAGCCCGCCAGGCTGGCGCGCGGGCCTCGCTCGGGGCGGCTGGGGACGTCGGGCGCGGCCTCGAGGCCACCGCCTCCGCCGCCGCCCTTGCCTCTGCGGCCCGCCGCGGGCGCCGCCTCGTCGGCGGCCCGAGGCCCGCGCCGCACGCGCCCCGGGGAGTCGGCGGTCGGCTCCGGTTCGCGCAGGCCCAGCCCGGCCAGGAGCAGAGCCGCGTCGTCCGCGGCCGTCCGCGAGCGCTGCATGGCCGTCGGCCCGCCGCCACCGCCGCGGCGCGTCACCTCCGCCTCCGCCGCCCGCCGCTGCCGCTCCGACAGCGCCGCTGCATCGTCCGCCGCTCCGCAGCCCGCAGCCCGCCCCGGGACCCCTGGGCACGGGGCGGGGCGGGGTCGCGGTCGCTCGGCGTGGGCCGCGCGCTCGCGCGGGGCCGTGGCGGGGAGGGAGGACCGAAGGGAGGGGGCGCGCGCGGCGGAGGAATGCGCGCGCAGCTCGGGGCCGCGCCCCCTCCGCTCTCCAAGGCCCGGCTCGGGAGGGGTGGTGGGGGCGGTGGCGGAGAGACTCCTTTGCCCCGTCAGGAATGCGAGGAAAGAGACTGCGCAGCGGCCTGTGGAATGTGGGGGGCGGCGACGGGCGGGCTTAGGGGCGCGAGGGCTGCGCGGGGACGCGGGCGGGCCAACGGTGGCCTAGGCTCTACGCCCCGGGGACCTCAGGGCGCATTCCAGACACCCCCACCCCCAGCTGAGCCCTGCACCCATAACCTCCCCATATTCCCTCCAGGCGTTCTGCTTAGGGAGCGCAGCCTGATAGTGCCCTACACATGGATGTGACACCAGTGTGGGAATTCTGGGAGTTTCCAAACGGGACACCAATGTGGAGAGTCTGACAATTTCTGACATGGGGCGCCAGTGTGGGCATTCTAGCAACTCCTAGGTATATCTCTCCCAAATACACATTCTGGGACTTAGAAAAGAATCACAGGGTGAGTTCCAGGTCCCATTGTGAATCTGACTTCTATCAAAATTGAGGCTGGAGCCATGGCTCAGAGGTTAAGAGCACTTGTTGCTTCTTGCAGAGGGCCCAAGTTCAGTTCCCAGTGCACACACACGAAGGTTCACAACCATCCTTAACTCCAGTTCTAGGGGGTGTATGCACGAACGTATGTGTATATGCATCACCGAACACGGTACGTATACACGCATGCAGGCAAAACACCCATACACATAAAATCTAAAACATAAACCTGTTGAACACCTGACATCCTAAGTCCCTACTTTAACCAGAGAGTCACAATGCATTATTTTTGTTTCGGATGGGGGATTTCTCAGAATTATTGTGAATTTAGAACCAGTATCTACTAGGCCTTGGGAAGTCCAATTGTTTCCTTTTCTCAGAGGTACAATTGCAGTGTTAGAAGAGATTTGGTCCCTCCGGATAACGGATGCATGAAAGGCTAACATAGACGCCTCTGTATTGCAACATGCCTCTTACTCGAGGGGCCTGCCGTTCCCTTCAAGGGGTTCTGGATTTGTAAGCAGGCTCAAGTCTGGAAATTGGTTGCCAGGCCAGGGTTCTCTATTGCTATCATCAAGTACTGCCTTTCTTTCACTTGTTCTAGAGTTTTCTGGGTAGATTGAGCCAAAAGGGGGCTCACACTGCATAGTCTGCTCATTCATGGGTGTTGGACAGGGCTCAGCAACCTGGCCTTGAGGACTCTCCATCTTACTGCAGATAGCAGCCTCTGGCACTCCCAAGATCATCAGACCAAGCTCAGACTTGAGCCTCAGCTGTGACAATGGTAAGAGTCTCCTTGAAAAGCAAGGGCCCCTCTTTTACAGTGCCAGGCCCTAGGATTTAGGGTGTGTCAACAGGATGCTTCTGAGCACCAGTGCAGTCACGTGATGTATGGAGCCAGCGAGGCCACATGGCTGGAGACTGTATCCCCAGAGCCACAAACTAAAAATCTGTCCTCTGCTGGTAGAGCAATCAGAGTAAAGAAAAGCAATCCTTATGTGTAGAGCCCCAGTGATCCAGGAAGCCAGATCTGAGCGACAGGACTCCTTTCTTCCAGGCACCCTTTGCTCAGAGCCTGACAGGAAAGTACCCCCGGTATCAGGGTACTTGTGCAGTAGCCTGGCCTCCTGGTTGCAAGGAGCCAACTGGGACACTAGCTTCCCAGATGGAAGTGAAACAAATCCCTGCTTCATCCTCCCTGGCCCCACCCCCACCTCCCTGGGGTGGCCACACACACACCTATCTCCTAGGACTTGAGGGAATTCCAGCCCTGCCTGGCCCAGACACAAGGTCTGGAAGCAAGCATTTGGGGAGCACGTGTCAAGGGGCACTGCCTCATTATCTACCTGTCTGATGAGAAAGGAAAGTCAATTTGACCGATGATCACATTTCATTGATCAAATGCATCATCAGGCATTTGAAAGTGAGAGTGTTGGGGGCCAGTGAGAAGACACATGAAGGTAAAAATCACCTTGCTTAGTGTGATTCCCCAGAACTCACAGTGGAAGGAGAGACCCAGTTCCCAAAAGTTGTCCTCGGATAGCCATGTGCATTGCGTATACGTGCACACAAACAAAACGGGGCTGGAGAGATGGACAGCTGGTAAGGGGCTTGTTGCCACGCCTGACCACATGCAGTAAACTCCCTGGACTCATGTGCTAGAAGATTAGACAAGTTGTTCTCAGACTTCCACATGCCCACTATGGCATGAACACATGCACACACATGTGCGTGTGCAAACACAAATTTATGTAATGAGCAACAACAATTGAAATACTTTTATAAGCAATACTGGGTTTTTTGTTTTTGTTTTTGTTTTTCGAGACAGGGTTTCTCTGTAGCTTTGGAGCCTGACCTGGAACTCCCTTTGTAGACCAGGCTGGCCTCGAACTCACAGAGATCCGCCTGCCTCTGCCTCCCTCCATCCCTCCAGTGCTGGGATTAAAGGCGTGCGCCACCACCGCCCGCCCGGCTAAGCAATATTGTTTTTTTTAAGATCTATCCTAGGTTATGATGGTGCATGACTGTCTGTAATCAGGAGACTGAGGCAGGAGGATCACTTTTGAGGCCATCATGGGCTGCACAGCAAGATTCCCTCAGAAAGTTATTAAATAAATGTCTCAGTCCAACTTGCCCAGTTTGAGCCTTCAGAATTTAAATAACATATTAGTGTCCAGGGTCAGTTGAAATCCATTGCTTTAGCAATAGGTAGCAAAACTTAAAACTGTGGAATAGTAGAATAAAGCACTTCTAAGAGATCAAATCCCTTGTGTGCAGTTAAGTCTGAGGGCCGGGCCGTTCATCCCAGCACTGGAGGGATGGAGGCCAGCCGGGAGACTGAAGCAAAAGGATCACAAATTCAAGGCTTGCCTGAGCTACAGATCAAAGTCAGTCTGACCAATGAAGTGAGACTATCTCAAAATAAAAAAAAAATAATAATAAAAGGAGCTGGGGGGCAGGGAGCTGGACACTTGCCATCAAGCCTACTGATGACTTCTATCCCTGGGACACACAAAGTAGAAGGAGAGAACCCCTCCTTCATAGTCACCTCTCATCACAGTAAATAAATGAGAAAGAGATCTGAAAGCCTAGTTGGAACCCTCAGTACCACAAATGAACGTGTGTGTGTGTGTGTGTGTGTGTGTGTGTGTGTACATTATTATTATTACAGGTGGGAGAAACCAAGTGAGTCATGGTGGCGCATGCCTTTAATCACAGCACTCAGGACACAGAGGCAGGTGGATCTCCAAGTTTGAGGCCAGCCTGGTCTACAGAGCGAGTTCCAGAACAGCCAGGGCTACATATCCCTGTCTCAGACAAACAGAAGACCTGGAGAAATCATGACAAAGTGTATAGAAACTAGTATTCAAACTTTTGCATACATTGTATTTTTTTGTTGATCAGGGTCTTTGCAGCTCTCCCTGTCCTAGAACTTAGTATATAGCCCAGGTTGGCCTCAAACTCAAGAGATCTACTTGCCTCTGCCTCCTGAGCACTGGGACTAAAGGCAATCACCATGTGTACATCCTTTTTTTTTAAAATATTTTTTTTATTTATTATGCATACAATATTCTGTCTGTGTGTTTATATGCAGGCCAGAAGAGGGCACCAGACCTCATTACAGATGGTTGTGAGCCACCATGTGGTTGACCGGGAATTGAACTCAGGACCTTTGGAAGAGCAGGCAATGCTCTTAACCACTGAGCCATCTCTTCAGCCCCACCATGTGTACATTCTAACAAAAGTTTTGCTCAAAACCTTTTCAAGTTTGCTAGGTTTAAGCCTTAACAAAAAAGTCCTTATTTTTTAAATTTCCTAATTTTATGTATATGGGTGTTTTACCTGAGCATATATCCATATATCAAGTGCATGCCTGGGACCCACAGACGCCAGAAGAGGACTTTGGATCTCCTAGAACTGGAGTTATAAACCACTGTGAGCCACCATGTGGGAGATGAGAAGTCAACCAGCCCCCCCTGAAAAAGCAGCCAGTGCTCTTAACTGCTGAGCCATTGCTCCAGCTCCTTTAAGCACTCTTTTTTTCCAGGCTGACATGAGTCAAAGATATTTAGTATGTTTTTTTTAACTGAGTTATGAAAGTTTGTTACATATTTTGAATACCAGTGTACTGTGTGCTTTACAAATCCTTTCTACCAGTTTATGACTTCTTGTTTTTGTGTCTTCTTAAGAATAGAAGTTATTCTGGGGGAGTTGGAGAGATGGCTCAGCAGTTAAAAGCATTTGCTGCTCTTGCAAAGGACCCAGGTTGGGTGCCACCCCCACACTGCAGCTCACAACTGTCTGTGACTCCAGTTCCAGGAAAATGAACAGCCTCTCCTGGTCTGGGTGGGCACTAGGCACACACACAGTACACTGTCATCACGAAGGCCAGTCAGACACATAAAATAAAATAAAAATGTATGTTTTTGTTTCGTTTTAGACAGGGTCTCACTATGTAGCCCTGGCTGTCCTGGAACTTGCTCTGTAGACCAGGCTGGCCTTGAACTCAGGGATCTGCCTGTCTCTGCCTCCTGAGTGCTGGGGTTAAAGGTGTGTACTGTCACTCAGCTTTTTAAATTCCTTTTGGTGAGGTCCACGATCACTCTTCTTATTGCTGTGATAAAGTATTTGGAAAAGCAGCCTATGGAAAGAAAGGCTTATCTTGGCTTTAGGACGGAACACAATCCCCAGGGTGGAGAAACCGAGTGGCAAACATCTAGTCTGGATGCAGAGAGAGATGAACGCACGCAGCAGGTGGAGGTCTGGAGACGGAGAGAAGAACGCACGCAGCAGGTGAGGTCTGGATGCGGAGAGAGATGAACGCACGCAGCGGGTGGAGGTCTGGAGACGGAGAGAAGAACGCACGCAGCAGGTGGCGGTCTGGATGCGGAGAGAGATGAA